ACCTTGGTGAATGTCATTAGGGGTATTCACGATCCGGTGCATACCATTTATGCCATCTATGCACCATGCTAGACAGCATGCACTGGATCGTGAATATAACTATTGATTTTTAAAAAAGAACATACATAGAATTCTACTGGTATGGGTGCCAAGTACACCAGGATATTGAGTGTAATTTTCAATCTGACGAATTAGCAAAGAAAGGCACGACCACTTTTAAACAGTTTTTTAGATATCACTCCATTTTAGTTTCCAATGAACGCTTCAACCTTTCGACCTGTGGGTCATCAGGGATTATCTGATTATATCACTTTGCTCGCGCAGCTACCACAGCCGCAATGGCCCAGTAAGCAAAGTACTGGCATGTCGTTCGAACGAGCCAAGGTTCTGGTCCTTGGGCAGCATAATTTTTTTATTTTATTAATTTTTTGTTTTCTTTAATTTAATTTTTTACTTTATTGTTTTAAAACGAAAAATATATATATATTTTTTTAATTTCATTATATGTTAAGGAACTTTTATTTTAATTTTTATGTATTTTTTCTTTTGTTTAGTTTAATTTTTTTTTTTGTTTTTAGATTTTATTGTTTTAAAATGAAAAATATTTTAATTAAGTTTTCTGTAGTTTAATTCGCTTTGAATTGCTCAATTTTTTTTTAAAAGAAACTTATTTTTTGAAATATCATTTAATTTTTAGAAACTAAGTGTATTATTTTTCCTTTTACTTTATTAAAGTTTTTTTTTCATTTCTTAATTAAATTTTATTTTCATTTTTATTTTATTATTTATAATTTTAAAAAGAAAAACATGCGTTATTTACTTAAATTTTTAGAAACATATGTTATTATTTTTCTTAACATTTTTAGACTTTTTTGTTTTAAAAAGAAGCATATTTTTGAAATGTCAGCTAATTTTTAAAAACTTATTTGGAAATATTATATTTTTTATTTCGTTTAGAAAACTTATTGCTAAAAGACAAATAGAGTAATGACATGACCTCCTCGTTAGCAGATCTCTCAATTAGACTTTCTCAATTAGACTTTCGAAAACAGCTCCAAGATGGTTGCCCGAATTGACAATTTTCTTACGAAATGCTTTTGCCGTTCGAAAGACTGTCGTTAGTTGAACGACAGTTGCCAGAATTACCCTGGAAATCTCCCTCCCTATGAAGAACCTTAAGGTCCACTATTTAATGTGAAATCAGAGCGGGCATGAATTGATCAATCTAGACTTTATAAGCCGAATTAAAAGTTACCAAGGAAAAATTCCCAATTTTGAGGAAAAATTACCAAAACGGCAACGCTATTGTACATATATGAATGGTATATGTATGCCCGCATGAATTTTTTGCTTATTTAGTTAGTTGGGTTGAGGCTGACTGCTGGACCGCCATCTCCATGTTGATCAACGCCGTGTCTCGTCGTCGTACACATATGTATGTATGTTTATGTATACTACTGTTGAGGGATCGCGAACCGGATCGCGTTCACAATGACAGCTGTGGTGGCTTGTTAACCAAGCGTGGTCGTCGCTGTCGTTGTCGTTGTTGTCGTCTACATCGCTCCACAGTCAAACAGGGCACATGACGGACGTACAAATTAATGACGACTATTGTTGTAAAATTGTTTGTTGCGATTGCTGTTATTTAGTTAATATGTTTGTTTGTATATTTCAACATACAAATGTTTGTATGTATGTAATTCCCCATTAGGCATGTTGTTGTGGTTTTTAGTCGTGATTGTGGTTGGCGTTGTCGTCGTTGGGTCAAACTGTGGCTATGACTGCCTGCCTAGCCAGCCTTACCCAGCCTCAATCCCCACGATCTCCACTGCGAACGTTACAAATTTGCTTTGAATGTAGGCTTTGGCGAGCCAGCTGAAGTGGCTTAGTAACTAAATAGATTTGTGCGTACACATGTTTGTGCATATGTACTTACATGCATAGTTTTATGTTTGCTAGGCTTTGTAATATTCAGCTTGCAGCCTCTAGATCAACTATTTCCGTTTTTCATTTACCATGTATGTATGTACATATGTACCACCCTCATCCGTCACAGTTGCTTTCATTGCTGCCGCGAGAAAATAAATTTTCAATTATTTTCATTTCATATTGATATGAATATACATATGTACATATATACATACATACATATGTATGCATGCATTTAGATACAAATAAATGAAGCAATGACTTTTTATGTTTTATTAATAAAATTTTGGAATGTCCGCTTTCACGCCTGCCTTCATACATATGACTTTTGTTTTTGCAATTTTGTGTGCTTTTGCCGTTGTTTTTTTTTTGGGGGTTGCTATTTTCGTTACGCTTTCTCGATCACTGCGGATTCCTTTTATTTTATTTCATTTCATTTTATATTTTATATTTTTTTCGTTTCACAAATACTTATATTTACATATGTATTTTTTTTCTTTTATATTTTTATTGTTTTGCTGTTCACCACTTGCACACATCGCGTTCATATTTGCAATATATATTTATAGGTGTTTTTTTTTTGTTTAACAATTATTTGTGGTTGTTGTTTGCGTTGCTTTCATTTGTCAATGAAATGAATGAATTTGCACTTGTGCGACGGCAAAAACGGACATTTCGGTGGGCGGTGTGTATGGCAGGAAATCAAGCAAGCGAGCGAGGTAGCGAGCATTCGAGCAAGTTAACGCCGGATGCTTGTAGTTAGCCGACCGCGTGAGGCGGTGAGTGAATTTTTGAATTGTTGGCGTTGGTGGATGTACTACATACATACCTATGTACGTACTAGTATTGTACTGCAATAAGAAGGAAGATGTGGGAGGCGGCTTAGACGAGTAGATGATACTTAGTATGTATGTATATACATATGTAGATGGATAAGGAGGGTTGGGATAGCAATTAAAAATGTTTTTGAAGGAATTTTGATGGATTTGTTTTGGAGAGAAAAAGAGAGGAGAAGAGAGGTAGAAAATGCATTTGATTAAAATTTTTTAAATTTTGTTTTTTATATTTTTTTTAAAGATTATTTTATGCAGTTCTAACAAATTTGTACATTGATGCAATAAATTTGTTAGAGCTACAGAGGAGGGGAAAAAGAGATAACATTTTATGTGAGAAAATTTTGAAAAATTATTTTGTTTTGCAAAATTTTTTTATGCGTCTTATACAAACTTGATCATATTCGCCTTTTTTTTAGAGATAAAGAGGTGAAAGAAAAAACCGTTTGGAGAAATTTTAAAAACAAGAGTTGGCATAGCAATTGAAAAATGTTTCCAAAGGAATTTCCTCGGATTTGCTTTTGAGAGAGAGAAAGAGAGAAGGAGGAGAGTGATACAAATTTTTTATATGTAATTTTTTGTAAATTTGTTTGCGATATTACACATCATAATACATACATACATACATTTGTTAGAGACAAAATTTGTTTTGGAGAAAATTTTTAAAAACTTTTTGGTTTTGAATAGATTTTTTATGTGTCTTGTACAAATTTGATCATGTTCTAAAACTTTTGATTTTTTCGAGAGAAAATAAGAAAAATTTGTTTGGAAAATTTTTTTGCTTTGCAATTTTTTTATACTTATAGATTTCGTATGAATTTTATCATATTCCAATACATTTGTTTTTGGGAGGGGGAAGTGGAAATAGATAAATTCTGCTTGGCATTTTTTTGTTTTGAATTTTTTTCATTTCATTTGTTTTTTTCGGAGAGAAAAAGTGGGGAAAAGATATATGTACATATGTATCTATTTTTCTAATAATTTTTGGAAAATTTTAGATTTTTTTTTAATTCTTTATGCACCTTGTAAAAATTTTATCATATTCCAATAATTATTCAAACTGCAGTAAGACGAAAACAACTATCTTGGTATGTACATATTATTACTCGGCTGCAGTTGTTGATTTTTCTGTTTTCTTTCGCTAACTTCCTCCAATGAATTTTGTGCTGATTGTATTTATTAGGCGCACAGGGTTTTTCGTTGATTGTTAATGAATGAATTTTTACAAAATTCACTGACTTTGCATTGTTTTTTTTTGCTTGTTTTGTTTATTTAAGTTATAACAAATTGTTTAGCGCTTATTACTTAATTGAGGCTGCGAGAGTAGCAAAATATTTTTTATTAAACAAATTTTGGAAATAACTTGCGTAAATATGCGTCTATGTAAGTAGACGTAATTCAAATATTTATACGAATTCGACCGGAAAGTCGTTTGGCACACGCATTTGCATAAAAATTATAGTAATTTGTGTATAAAAATCACTCTTCACTCAAAAATTTCGTACAAAAAAAATATGCGAAAGTATTTTTTTATTTTAATTTTCGTTGAACTAAAAGTTTTGTAATATTTTTTTTTTGCTGTTGCATTAATTCAAAACAAAAACCATTCAGCTCATCACTGCAATTTCTTTTTTTTTTAATTTTTTCAACCGCAAAGCGAAATAGGTATGTACTCGTTTCAAAAAAAACACCGAAAAACGCGTATATTGTATCTGATTGCCTTGATTTTGATTCCTCTTATTTTGTTAGTGTCGCGTAAGACGCTCGAACATCCACACGCATATACGCACACACACACACAGCTTTCACGTTTCCGACGTTAATCAAACCGTCCGACTCGGCGAAAATATCTCAAGCAACTGATGTGCAAGCGGCGATTCGTAACGAACGCCAACACACAAATGTATTTCACTCGGTGTTTTCTTATTTGAGTGGAGAAAATGGAGAGCGGATGTAAGAGGCGCACACAAGCACACAAAAAAGATGGCGAAAAAGTGCGCAAACGCACACAGATGCACACACACACAACACGCACACACACACACACATATCCATAAATTTCCTTTTGTGTTGGTGCAATGGCCGCGCGGCGAATTCAAATTCAATTTAATTCAAGAACTCAAAACGACCCCTCTCTCACCATGAGTTCGCGCTGGCAGTGAGTGTCAGCGGCAGCGCTCATGCTGAGCAACGGAAATTATTCATTCATTCATAGAACTGCAGACGTGTGTTTCCCTTTATTTCATTTATTGAAACATTTTTTTTTTTTATCTTGTTTTTAAATGCTGTTTCTCGCTGCTATAAATGTATTTGTATGTACATATGTATGTACGTATGTTGAAGCGAATTCAACAGCAAAGGCGACAAAAGCAAACGAGTTCAATTTAATTTATTTTCCGCTACCTACACTGTATTTGTTACTAACAAATATACATATATATGTATGTTCATATGTATGTATGCATGTATGCATCTATACACTTTTTATAAGCTACAAAGTTTTCGTAAATACAGCATAGTTGTTGTGGAGGCTTAAAAATGACATTTTTAATGTATTAAATGAAATATTTTTGCATATTTTTAATTGACACGGCTATTTTTTGGCTGAACTTTAAGGGTAGTTGAGCTCATTCACTCATTAGGTTGGGTTAGCGAGTGGCTGTCTCTGCGTTTAGGCCTTCTAGAGATGGTCTGCCGAAGGTATGTGAGCAAATCTCACGTGTGGTTTCATTTTTCGACAAGAACGTCTTTTTGGTCGAAAATGGTGTTACGCCTATCTTGAAAAAAGCATTATCTGCAGTGTTGTATAAAGAACAAGATTCCATCGCGAAACTGTATTTAAATGAAAATTTGAAAAAGATATACATACATATATATCTACTAAAAGAGTAGAAATAACTACTCGTGCTTATATATCCGTAGTTGCGTATGCAACGTATACGCCCCGTAGCACCATACACAATCATCTAATACGTTTACTTACTTAACTTAAAAGTCATAATACATATTTAAAAATAATTAACTATTGGCGTTGGAGACTTTTACACAGTATTCCTTATGCACATACATATGTATATATTACTTTCTTCATGTATATACGAATTTTAGAGTGAATTTCGAGTGTGCTAAGAAAAATTAAAAAAAATGGAATTTTAGTCAAATCATAGTCATCTTTCATGCAATGTAGTTTTAGATTGTAGATTCGTTCGTTTTGGCAAGAACATTTTCTTAAAATGAAAAAAACTTTTAAATGTCAAACATCTCAAAATAGCTGCGCCAGATATATAAAAAATCGATAATATTCAAAAACTGCCAAATAAATAATTGGGTACTATTCTTTGAAGTACCCTGAAGATAAATAGATTTTGCCGCTGGAAAAATAATGATTTTTAAGCATTCTATACCGTTTCTACGAAACATAATTTTTCCCCATGGCAGGTTCCATGGGAAAGTAAACCTCACTGCCAAAATTATTTTCTTTATAAAACTAACAAACGTGTGGATAAGACATTTGTAAAAATATTGAGTCAACTAAAAATTAACCAATCAAAGCTTGTAATGCATTTTTATTACCTTTTTGTACGTTTGGAAATCAATTTCTAAGTAAATTTTTTTGATTTAGTTAGATAAGAATAATTCAACAGAGAAGCATGTCCCACCCGTGACAGCTATGTGTTGGACAGTTATCAGAGGTAGGTTAACAGGGCTAATAAGCTTAATTTGTTTGTTGGAGTGGACGCAGGGGAGGAGGGGGGGAATGCGTGGACTCGTCCATTATCTATATACCCTTGTGGTCAGCTGATTAAGTTAAGTTACATTTTGACCAGTTTTGGTTTTTTATTTTGTTAATATAATGTGTATAGTTTTTTTTAAAGTCTACCACATTACCTAACCAAAACCACATAAATCTACATTTCAAACTTCTTACAAAAATTATAAAAATTCAACGAACTTTAACAGTTACGCCCAAAAATTGTAAACTTCTTGATCAGAATTTTTAGGTATGCAGTTTTGTAGTCCATTAAATTTAAGTAGGTAAAAGTTAAAATTTCAAGGCACTAGGAAATCGCGTTCATTTTTAATAATTTTTTTGGCTGACGGTGCGAAGCATTTTCTTCAATATAAAAGGCACTATCCTAAGATAAAACGTAAGTGAATTGAACCCCTACTTCGCTTCTTATATTTTTTAATAACTAATATTTATACATATATGGATCACACTAAAAGCTCCTTTTCATATAAAAATTCATACGTTTCCCACCCATGACAGAGGAATTTCGGATTTTTTTAAAATAAAGCCATCATTTTTGTTGTAGTTTTTGCTTTGTTTGTATTTGCGGTTCTTTGTTTTATTATAATACATCGAGTTCACGCAGAAAAGTGAAATAAATTCGCAGAGTTTCCGTAAAATATATATGCTTTAAACAGCAGGTTCTTTTTTTTTGTCCCACCCGTGACAGAAGAAATAAATCAGATTTTTTCCACATAAAAGTAAGCTGGAATTTTTTTCGTATTTTTTAATAACTCATATAATTGTCAATTAGGTGTAGCTGTATCAAAATGTAGAATTGTTGAGTACTTTATGCTTAAATTTAAACAAGAAAGAAATTTTTTTCCGGACAACTGTCTATCTAACCCGTGGCGGTGGAATCGCCCCATGTAAAAACTTTCAGCGCCTCTAAATATTTTCTGATTTAAATAAAAATGCGCGGTTTTTTTTTGATGTATAACAAGCCTAGGGGATGAGAGCACTCAAATTCCGAATTTATTTTTCTGAAATGCATTTTTGGACCACCCTAATGCGCATAGAAATATAAGTAGTAACTACCCAGCCAGCAAAAAATCCGAAAACCGATCCAAAAAAGGAGGAAAAAAACTGGATGAAGTGCGGATTTTTGTCCGCTTACCGATTTCATTTTCGGATACTTTGATGATCCGTTTTCCCACTAAAGTGTGCGGCAGAAACGTATGTAGAGACAACTTCCGCATTACCGTTGTGTGTTAAACGAATACTTTTTAGGCTGTTTTTTTTTTTAAATTTATCTGATTGAATTTTTTATTCAATACGCTTTCCTTCTGCACTTCACAGATAATTTTTCATGGTCCAAAAAAAATACAAAATAAAATTTGTAAGCTAACAAATTACTGCTTTCAAATAACACCATATTTTTCGAACGTTTTCAGGATACGAAAATGAATAACTGTAGTCATTTTCTATTCGTTTCGGAATACGGAAAATTCCACTAGACTGTGATGTTGGCAAAATTTACGTTTATTTGCTGCATAACGAGTTTGCTAAGCTTTCGAATTATCACAAAATTAAAACAAATTAATTTGGGTCGGCCGCTCTAAATTTCTTAAAAATAAGACCATACAAATAACAATTAGCTCAAACGGTAAAAAGGCGTAAAAAGTCTTCATACATTTCCAGATACATATATGTATGTATGAATATGAACATATGCATATGTTTGCCTTTATACGGATACATACACAGATACCTAGGTACATATGTACATACATATGTAGATATATGTATGTATAAAATGACGTTTTCAATGAATGCGAACACACCGGATATGTGTGATTACCCCTATACCAACCGAATGAGTTAATAAATGCAGATTGCCATAATGGCCCCCAAATCGTTCTAAACCATACATGCAAGTACTATGTGTATGAGCAACGAGGGGCCATTACCGTGCTTCATATGTACATAAGAAAATACGGCAAAGCAACCGCAGTTACCGTACGGGTTTGGAAAAAATATACATAGTAGAAAAAAATATTCATTGTATATTTAGGGTAGCTTCCATTTCCGGTAAGACAAATGCGTAAACATAGGCATGCACATACATACATATGTATATAAGAATACTATATATGACTGTAATTGAATATTATGTATGTGTATAATATAAAATATTTTACACCCCTATGAGCTCATAAAAAATTTAAATCAATTTAAAATATTTTATAATTAACGACTGTTACAAAACTCGACTTATATGATCTTACTAGCTTTTGCCCTCAACTCCCCGAAAAAAGAAATAAATTGTATTTAAAAAAAAAGTTTCCAGAAAAACTTTTCGAATTTTAACTAAACTAGCCATTTCAGTACAAAAACCAAACATAGATTTCGTAGCTAGTTTTTAAATCCTTAAAAAAATTTTAATGACATTTATAGGGCCAGCTCTTTTAAAAAATGTGTCTGAATAAAAGCATACACCAATACCGTTTGTTTCATTTCAATATCTCATTCTCATATTTATTTTAGCTTAAACAAACAAAATTTATTGAAATTTGTGCAAATGTCAAACTAATTTGAATTTGAGTTTAAACAGCCCTCTTCAAAATATTTTCGAATTAAAACCTTTTTCAACCTGTTGCGTTTGTTTTCCATATTGATTATATTTAAATAGACTTTTAAACAGTTGGCAACCTCTATTAAAATATTTTTCAAATATAGCCTTTATTAAACGTGTTTTGATATAATTTTATGAACTGTTAACAAAAAATTGGCTTTTTTAAACAGGTTACGAA